AAAAAAAAAAAAAAAGAGTTCTCAATTGTCCCTTTGAGGTTTGTATCTTCACCTGGGGTCCATGCCCTGCATGACGATCTCATCCTGTTTGCATTCCACCATGTCATTGGTGAACATGGCATGGAAGTATGGAATAGAAGCAGCAAGGACTATTCTGTGAGCACTGAATTTGTGCTCTCCTACCTGCATAAACACAGACAGAACAGATACACGAATCTTGATCAGAAATCATCATCTCACATACACATAAAAATGTCCTGGTTCAATGTTGATAATTATTGAGTGCCAACTGAAAAATCTGAAACATTACCACCCAAATAAAAACAAATTATGACCATTCTCCAGACAACAGACAACAATTTCAATGAATAAAGAAGCAAATGTGAAAAAATGGAGCAGTGAGCCAGATATCCACCTTTTTCATCAACGCAAAAGTAAACCTATGGGCAAGACTTCCGGTTGATTAGTCACTATAGGGAAATAACTAGAAGAATAACAACCACCAGTGTGTTCATAATTTAGATAATACATTAAAATAATATGTTGTATAGCTAAAAATAGCTGGACACAGATGAGACCGGAAGCTAGACCCATAGAATTTACAAATGTCCGTGTCGGCTCTTATGGGAAGAAAAAGGTGGATACTGAAAGTGCACCATAATCCTCAGCATGATCTGTAGTATATGTCCTATAAGCCAGCTGTTAGTCAGCAAAGACATGCATACAGCAGGTCGGGTGAAAGAGATAAAGAGGATTATTCCTCACTGTGACCCACATAAAGGGCTGATGATGCAACAGTTAAAACACAGCAGCAGATCAGAGACTGAGCATAGCTTTCATTACCTGATGCTTCTCCTAATGCTGCTTTACAGCAACATAATAATATATATATGCACATCACTCTAAAACAAGGAGGCATCAGCAAACCACCTCTATTTTTGTTCTGGTATAGAAATCTTTTCTGAAAATTTGCCCTATTGATCACTGTATATATCACATATTGTATATGCATGTAATATACAATATATATGCAATATTTATAATGTATGCACAATACACATACATGTTTACATTTTTAATGAATAAATCTTTTTAAAAATATTTTATATTCTGCATCTCTTTTCTTCTACATTTCTGTTCAGGCAGTAAAACTAATGCATTTATGTTCCTGCAATTACGGATGCATTCTTTATTTATGTGCTTTTGATAAATAAACCTTAACTTGACTTGACGTAGGCCTAATTTGGCATGTTATAATGAACCTGAAGCAGTGAATCTCAACCAGGGACCCCTGGGGCCTTCTGCACACTTCTAATGGGGTAACAAGATTGTTTACAACAAGCTTTAAAATAAGCTAAAACGTCTAAAAGTGTAGATGAAAACTGACATCCGACAAGTTTATTCCCTAAAAATTTGGTCTTGGAAAACCTGTATGAGGGAATTTTAAAACTACAATATCTAGACCTGCAAAAAGTAACGGAAGTGTATTTTTATAGCTATAGCAAGATGTCAAATGTTTTATTGTGTAGAAATTGCTATTTGGGAGTTGAAAATAAGTTTTATCCTTTTTATCATCATCATGAGCAACCGGAAAAGACATGTAAATTAATTAGTAATGAAGAACATTTGGATCTTGAAACTTCTGGAATAACAGAATGCAATTATTGTAATTTTACCTATTCACAATTATTTTACTAACTTGCTCGTTTAACACATTATCACCTCCTAGTTTCTGTAAATAAAGTACCACCAGAAATATCTTAGTCTACAAGGGTACATAGCCTTCGAAATTTGTCTGGGGCCCTTGGTGTCAAAAAGGTTGAGAACCAGTGATGTAAAGAGCTTATAGACACTCAGTATACAGATTGTAGTAGTATTAATGTGCTTTCTGTATTTGAGTCTGACTGTTAAACAATTTACAAATATATATTATATAGAACTGATAACAAACAGCGAGCAATATTACAAAAAGCATTCATTCTAATTCGTCAGTATAAATAATTATGTAAAAAATAAAATAAAATTCAATGCCAGAGCTAGAAACTGTTGTTTCAAATTAGTCAAACAGATCAAGATATGTTGGCTGTCACAGGTGTTTCTATTAAACTCAGCCTGACAATATAGTTAAATATTAAACATAAGGAAGCGACAACTTCTTAACAGACCATGGAAGGCGAATTCACAACCAAAGACGTTGAAAAAAAATTCTACAGGTTAAAATAATAATAGCAATAACAGTAGAATGTATTGTTTCTCCTCCGTGTTTTACTAGTTTAATATACAGCTCATGTGCAGCTGATGAGGATGTTAGCTGCACATGCTAACTAAATAACACTAGAATAACAACTCGCTTTACAACTGATACAAAATATACAAAAATCAATTTTAAGAGCTATCTGCAATGACACACATTAACAAACGACCTTACAAGCTGGAACATTATAGCTCTTCCTTCTGCTAACAGTGTCTGCACTTCACTAGCCTCTCCCAATGCTGACAGCCCAGTGCTACTTTGTTAGCATTTCACTAGCAAATTAATCCTAACAAAGAAAAGCACAGTACTTTTAGGGTAACGTCACACAGTTTCCCTTGTCGTCGGATCTCCTCCATCACTGCATATCCACGAGCGGGCAAATCGGCAACAGAAAAATGCATCAAATCTTCTAATTCTTCAAAAATCGTGTCACCCATCGTCGTTGATGGACTGGAAACGACACTTTTTGTCCAAACCGAGACGCCGTAGCTTGAGCTGTATTACTGACTGCCAGCCCTCCACCGGCGGTGTCAGTTCCCTATTATGTAGGGGTCATATACAGCTCAAAACATATTTATATGGATGTACTGGTCTTATTAGTGTGATTCACATGTACATCATGGCTTAGGTTGAGTTTAGACAACAAACCAGACTACAGTCCCTCACAGAAACCCACGTGACAAGAAGATACTGGCTGAATTCTAATAAACTAGGCTACTAGTTCAGCCTTTCTAGGACAATATGTTGCTAGTATAAAGCAAAGGAAAGATGAGTTATAACATGTTTGGACTATAAAATGGAGTTTTTTTTTTCAGTCACACAAGTATCTGATTATTGTGTAAATTCGTTTAGTTAGGCTATACAATTTTAGCTTGCAGGTAGGTCTCTTGAAGCATCTTGGAGACGTTGCCACAGATCTTCTAGATTTAGTCTGTCAGTTTGTTAGGTTTCTTCATGTCAATCCAGACAGACTGGATGATGATGAGATCAGGGCCCCTATTCTTAAAGATTCTAAGAATCCTCTCAGAGAGCTCCTAATTTAGCTTAAAAATTTCTAATTTAGGGCTGCGTTCCAGTCCGTTTTTTTATGCCCTTCACTCGCAAACTTCCCTCCGTCTCGTTTACTCGGATGTACGTCATTGATTACGTTGCATGAGTACCCACTTCTGGCGGAACCCTTGGAATGGGCTGAACTGGAACGTCCTAAGCCCTTGATCACTTAGAATCAGCTATGGAGTTGGTTTATTGTTTACATTTTTTCCCTTATGAATTTGTGTGGTGCAGCATTCTATATGTATATAGGTATGTTTGGGCTGTTATAAATGTTTAAAAAAGCATTTATATATTATAGGGTGACCATACCTGCCATTTTCCCAGGACGCGTCCTGGGAAAATGGCACATATGGTCGCCCTAATATATTATAGAGTTGTGTGGGGGGAGGGGGATCAATTAAACGTGATCTGCGATGACGTCACAATCGTGTTGCATTGTGGTCTATGGAGCGGCCTGAAGTGTGCATATGAAGCAGACTCGCTCCCTCGGTCAAAATCGAGGGGTCGAGGGTCTGTCCATATAAACTTCCCTGGTCCACTTCACGAAGTGGAACGCACTTCAAAATGGCAGCGGGGATTCCCCCCAGGGGAAGTACTTAGGGAAGTTTGCAAGTGCATGTCTAAAAGTGGAGTGGAACGCAGCTTAGGAGTCTTAGCTTAAAAGTGATTCAGGACCAATCTGAGAGCAAGTCTGAGCGAGGAAAAGACAAAAACTTTTCTTAGTGAGGAGGCGGGGCTGACCCCGTTGCTAGCTATGACACAGTCTTTAGAAGAATGTGATTGGTTGGTTGTCTAAGAAGGAAATAAAAGTGCTTTTAAGAGTAGGGTTTATTATAAGCCTTCACTTCGTGCTCTCTCTCTCTCACACACACACACACACACACAAACACATACATTATGTATAAATATTCTTTATTTTTTATTTACCATGCTGTCATACTTAACATATTTTATAGGAAATGAACAGCAACACAAGCTTCTGAACGTGCTGTAATTGTTTGTGTGATCACTTTGCTTATAGAAGGTTGTGACAGACCCAAATCATCACTGCTGCATAGTTGTATTTTTTCCAGTTGCCAAATATGTCAATGTAGTGATTTACTTCCATTTCTGGCGCTATGGCATTTCTGCGCGGTGTCGGAGATGTGTCTCTAATAAGATCGGTCACAGACATGATTCCTGCACCATCTAATGTGTAGCGTCTTGTTAACTGTCATGCATTGTGTGCAACACATTTCTTCTCCCTCTTCGTGTTTCGTCCATTTTCTCCACTGCTAAAGTAACTCTTAAGCCTCTTAAAAGTCCTTGTCCGTACTCCTAACAATTTTGGACCTTAAGACCTCTTTTAAGGGTTAAGATGCTTTCTGAATTACTTTTTTCTTTACTAGGATATTTTCTTTAATTTTAAGAAACACCCACGTTTCTAAGAATTTTCTTAGAATTTTGTTACTAGGAGCAACTCTTAGCACTAAGATTTTTCATGAATACGGGCCCAGATCTATGTGTGGAGCACTGGCTGTTGTCAGACTCCTTGTGCAATTCACTGGATTATTACAATTAATGGCAAAATGAATGTTTGGAAATGTAAACTGATATTTCCTACTGACACACTACAGCAAAAGATAAAAATAACTGACTTAAAACCATTTTTAGCTGGTGAAAATACTAATGTTTTAATAATTTTGGCCACCACTGTAGTTGCCAGCATTAAATCAATAGAATGTTCTTAACATCGATCTGCCATTTAACGTAGTTTCCTCAGTATTTACTTTTAATAAAATTATGACATAAAAAATTATCACTACTACTTCTAAAACTGTGGGTGCTCATAACGTAATTACTTCATACAGATTAAAATAAATAAAAAATAATAAAATTAATCATATAAATATGCTCATTCTCAGGCTAGGAACACTCAAAAAGCAGAGCAGATATTTCCACTGTCAGGTTGTTATGCTTTTGCTAACCTTTGGGGGGGAAAAACACCTCCTGGAAAATCTTCTGTAAGCCCTGATGGACTCCAGGACTATGTCACTCGGACTTGTGCCCTCACTGTGTTTTGTGTCAAAGCAATGCAGAAGTTTTTGGCACAGAAAAATGGTTTTGAAACAATCAAGCTGGTTGTCAATGACACTTCTCAGGTTCTCCATATTCTAGTTTGTTCCATCACATCTTCAGAGCTGTATGTGACTAGTGTGGCTAGATGATTGTTTAATGATAGACATTTGAAGTTAATGAGTTGCATGAACAAACCTTTATTGTTTACTTTTAATTATTGTAAAGGACTTATTCCTGTCAGGGTGACAAAAACTATAGCTCGTACATGTGAACACACAACCAACACAAGTACCCATGTTAGATAAGCATGTGTCAAATATTATATGTGTTTTATTAGATATTAATTTGTAACTACATGACTTTACCAGCAGGTGGCACAAAATATCCAGTAACAGATGACTGAACGTTCCTATGAATTCTATTTACAAAAATAAACAGAGAACAGACAGTCATTCTGGCAGGCATGAACTGGCAGGAAAAAAAGTTTTTCAGAGCTGTTGCCCCAGGGAGAATTTAGTAGAAGTGCTTTTCTAAGAAACAAAATTGAAGATGATTTCAAAGAATTAAACTGACAGTAGTAAAACTTTTTGGAAAGCAAAACAACACATAGAACAGATGTAAGTGGGATACCTGGTGAAATAAACTTTTAGTATCTGATTAATAATGTGGTAAAAAGTGAGTATTTTCATATTTGTTAATTAAAAACAAAATATTAAAGCGATGCTCAAGTACAATTGCTGAAGACTGGCACATTAGCAACAAATTTATTCATACTACACCTAGTAGCAACTTATGCAACTTCTCGTGGGATTTCGCAAATAAGAGAGTTAAAGGTAGAAAGGGTCAGTGAGTGAGATACTCCACAAACATGAGTAGCCCTGGACAAGTATTTGGACACTTTTGGACATCTAAGACACTCTTAAAAATGTCTAAATGTCATTGTAGGCTACTCATGATGCAAGACCCTAGAACTAACTTCCCTTTTTCGTAGAATTTATGTAATTTTACTTTTAATCAACTAGTCTTAGGGTAATTTTTAGGGCATACTGTATGAGGTTTCCCTCAAGTTTCTTAGCAGAGTCAGGTGTAGTAACTTTTAAATGATCATTTATCTATTTATATATTTATTTAAAATAGAAGCAGAAATTTATTTTTGTCAAGTGTACTTGTACTATATTTCTTAAAAATAGGCGTAAATGCCCTTTTGTTTGAAAAACTGGTAAATAATCATTTTAAGTGTGTCTTAAGTGCCCAAATACATTTTGGGGCCACTGTATGTGATCCGAGAAAGGGTATTAAGAGGATGTGGAAGGTTTTCACACATGCCTAAACCCTGTCACTCCATTTAAATACTAGTTGCAACACACATGCAAGCCTTGACTTGAGGAAGGCTAAATTACATTCACAATTCACTGTTTACACCTATTCACTATTTACTCGGAACTCAATACAATACTGTGTTAAATGGCATGTTAAGGCAACTTTGCACACGTGTATTGTGATTTAAAGCATTATTTGATGTGTAGGCCATTTTGTTTATAGACCAATCACCATTTGCATTGTGTAAATTACGACTTTGGTTGAGTAATCGGACATGCACTGAATTGTTTTATGACAAAACAGTAAAGGGGTCACTGTGCATATTGTCTAAGCTTTACGGTAGCACATTAAAAAGAGGAAATTCAGAAAGCTCCAGCCAGAAGGGAAAGCTGGACTGAGATGAAATGATGCCTGTAGGTCGGGCTCTTTAGTACACTGAGTATGTTTAGGGTGGACTGCGACTGAGCGTCCAGAGACCTACGTCTCTCACGTACGAGACTGTATGTTATCCGGAGCCTGATCCTTTTCTGAGAGTCCTTGAGGATGGGATTAAATTCACCATAGAACTGAATATTTTATGTCGCTTTAAAAACGCTTTTCGCAAATCGCGTCGCGTGTTACAGTATTTATATGCGATTGACGACTAAACTGTAACTTGAAATCGTGGCCAGCGATATTCGTCAATGAAACACGTTTGCAGCTACAACATTGCAGCAAGCCTCAGGAGGTCCTGCGTGCTCAGTTGGTCTTAAAGGAGCAGTCAAAGCAGCACGCGAGGGCAAAATGACTATGTCCGTCCCAGAGAACATATCGGGGTCCGAGGGGAAAGATGAGGAAAGTGAAGATGAGAGTGAAATCTTGGAGGAAAGCCCCTGCGGCCGTTGGCAGAAGCGACGGGAGCAGGTACGTCTGGAGGCTAATGGGCACGTGAAGCATCGCTGTCATTTTCTTGTAAAGACGGTGACTGGATGAGACTGAATTGTGTATTTAACTGTTATTAAAGTATTTAAAGGGCTCTGCAAATGCAAACACATGGTATGTTGTGTGTTTGTGGGTGTCTTCGCGATAAACCAGTCCTGTTGGTTTCTGTCCACATGGAGAGTTTACAGTGATTAGCAGCTGTTAAACACTAGAATA